CGTATTGTGAAGAGTCATGAGGTTCAAGGGCGAGCAGAGCCGGGAATGTGGACTAGCTTCCGGAGTATTCGGCAGTTACTGGTAGAATACATAATTATGGATTTTGATGTTGGACATTCGTAATCATCTATAGATTCTGATGGGAGGTCTTTAAAGAAATAATAACATACTCGGCGTTTGCTTTTCATATGGAAAATTAAACAGCCTTGATCGACTCGGCAACTATCACACAGCTTTTGGGTAACTTCGTATGATTGGAAGTACAAGGAGCGATTAAGTATTTAAGGTTTCAAGTATTGGAAACCATCATTTTATTCGCTACTAACACGGATAAAGTTACGGAATAAATCATAAATCAGTAAACATCCGGCAGTACGTATTTTTAAATTGTGTTTTAGTTCTTCAAGTTCCTCGGGATATTTAATACACATAGCCCATTTGCTTAACGAAATAAGCTTAACGTCTTAGCTTAACGAAGTAAGTACATTAAATTATGTCAAAAAAGCAATTTAAACAGTTATTCACGTCATTAGAACAAGCCAGGTGAGCTTGAGATGGCAGCAAATGACCAAAGCACAAGACTTTAAAATATTTACAATTGATGTACTTTTTACATCTAATTATATGAAATCACTATTATAAAACGTGAAAATCAGATTTTAAAAGTAAAGCAATGAAAAGGACATCTAAATCTTCCTTTAACGACGCTCAAAATGACGGCCCGTAAAAAATATCACCAAAAACGTCGTTACAGGACACATTTCTCATACAAAACACTTTAAGCGGAAACCCCATACGCATCAGGACTGACAACAATGGTAGACATCTCACAATCGGCAGTAATAAAGCCGAGCGCCCACATTAAAATCTTATCCCTTTCTTAAATAAAAAATTCACGAAAAAATAAGAGGGGAAAATCTACCATTATTCAGTGGAAAGCCCCCGCCTAAGAGACGTAAGGCGCAAAATACATTGCCGCGCAATAACAAATGACGATGAGAACGTGACTTTATACGGATACAATAGAGCCCCTATTCGTATATCAAGTTTTCGATTTCAATAAAGAAAAGTAAGTCTTATTTGTGAAGGGATAGGACGGGATGTTGCTTAGCGTCCGGACGGTTGGCTGTACAGCATTCGAGGCATAGTCGTTAGAACATTTGAAAATGAGATGCAATGGGTGGGTTAGGGGAGATCCAGGGTGGGCAAGGGAGGTGGGAGACGGGGCACTCGAAATTCGAATTACCAGGGCGTGTGTAATGATTTTCCCGGGAGTTATGGGCATCGGAGACGATCTGGATGGTCTTTTAAAAAGATGATTGGAGCTTTCCGTCCGATGATCCTCCTAATGAGATCGAACTTACTCGAATTCGTTTACGCTACTTATTTGAAATTTGTATTGTTCCATTCGAATATTAAAGCAAAATGATATTTCTAATATGTTGTAGCTAGCTGTGTTGGTAACTAATACTTATTGTACTTTAACATGATTGGAATCATTAAAGATTGTTTCCGGCTTTGTGTTTGAAAGTCATAATTGGAACACAGATTCCCACGAAAATTTCAAAATATATTATTATCCTTCTATTTTGCATTCCTTTTTCAAACTTTTGATATTCATTCTCTATGCGCGAATATAAGAAAAAGATTTCTTTTTTTTTAAGACAAAAGATGAACGCAAACTTTTAGCTCAGAAAATAAAAAAAAGTAAGCACTTAGATACGTAGTACATTGCGGAGTTATCAAAATTTATAGCTCTGACAAAACTCTATCTTCACGATTCATCGGGGGCACGCGCTGGCGGCGTGAGACACCCTACGATGAGATATGGTGATTTGTGCATACAAACTGGCAGACGTAACGGTGAAATTAAGTTTTTATAGCCATATGATGTTAGTATTTTTCATAGTTTACTAAAGTGAGACGTACGCATAATGTTTTTGGGAAAAGTTTGATGGATGTGAAATAAAACGAAAGTAGCTTTATAAAATTCATGTTGGAAATAAATATATATATAGAGCTTTGGTGCAGCAAAACAGAAAGGCAAGAAAACATAAATTTTTAATTAATTTGTATAGGCTGTAGATTCAGTTTTCGCTCTACAATAGTCCACTTCTCCACGTTATTCGCGCTAGTCAGCAGTGTTTTGTTCACAACACTTAATGAAATTTGATTTAAAGAAACAAAACACTTTCATTTATTATTAAGGAGTATATATTATTATAGACCAATAAGGGGTCTTACAATGAAATAACGTCGGCTTTTTTCAGTAGAACCCTTATCGATCAAAAAATAACTACATGAATTGTAAAAGTTGTCACTTAACTTTTACTGGTATTGGTGGAAAGTATGCCTTATTTTTTAAGCAAGTTATCCCACCCCTATTATCATAATAATCTTAAGATAAGAGGTCCAGTCGTGGGGATAGCTGATAGTATACCTAACTACCTGATACCTTGCTGTTTTGACCCAACCGCCTAACCTACTGTAATTCATTATTAGAAATACAACATCACCAACTACAAGCAGGAGTAATGCTTCTTAACCATCTTGGTCTTCTGTAAGATAAAAGTTACATATCGATATTATAAAAAAAAATACAATGTGTTTATGTAGTCAGACAGTAAGGAGACTTGTCGCAAACGTTTGATAACAATACAACAGGAATAGCAATTACATTAATTTATGTTATCGAACACCAGAAATAGTTTTCTCGGAAAATAACATTTGTTACTGGCCTTCGTTATGATAACCTTATTTTGAAATATAAAAATATAGTTTCCATAATAATTGCTCTTCGAAGTCAAGGTTTTTATAGAGCACTCGTTTTAAAAACAAAGCATTCGATTTTCAAATCCCGAGACGGAACTTAAGCGACCCCGAAATTGCTGGCCGCATTCACGCAGACAAAAGCTCTAAAACACACCCCGCGACCGCGAGCAAAAAGAAAAGCATTTCCATCCTATCCCCTCCTTCATTTAAATTTCCCGCCCCAGAGCGGGGGCGGCGACCATAGGGGCGGCTTCCGCAGAACAGAGACGAAACTTAAAACGTCGTAGCAAAGAATGAGACGGTCGTATGTCCACCTGTTGCGTTTAGAGTTTCATATTTTCGCGGCGGATTCTTTTTTCGTTTCTTACCGCGTTCCGAAGGATTTGAATGGCGCGCGGCGTGCATGCGTACTAGGGTTAGGTATTGAACGATATTGACGTGACGGTGAGCGACGTTCGATTTTTTAAATGTCATTCGCCGGTTCTAAATTCAAATGTTGTAGCACTCACTGCTTTAATTATTATGTACGCCATTTTTATTTGCATATTTATTTGTTGAACACTACGCTAAGTGCAAAAGCGGATTTCAGTTGAGAGAACGTTGATTTGATTTAGTTAAAAACAAATTCATATTTATACGTATATTTTTTTTAATTATTTTGCTTTTAAGTTATCAATATTACGTACCTCGTTTAACTAAAACGATAGATGCATCTTACAATTTGCAAGTCTACAAGGACATGATAATTTTCAGTTTTCCTTACTATTAATGAAGTATAAGGACAGAAGTATCCTTGAACTATAAAATCATGTCTGACGCAACTATAAATAGGTTTGTATTACTATAGATAACATTACACCGTTTTCAAGACTCTATGTCTAAGAAAAAAATATTGGTAGGTTTAAATATACTAGCTACAGTCGCGATAGATAACAACAGGAATTTTAATTGCGTTTTAATTTTTTTAAACCCCTTCTTCCAAAATGGCGGCAGGATGAACAGAAATAAAAACTGTTTGTGTTACCGTTTCCGGTCCGGGGCACGTGGTGTACGGGGAAATGTACCAATAAAAATAGTATTCGGAGACCGATTAAACACGATCTATGTGGATCTACTGTGGAGCAGTTTAAATGGATGGAAGATTGGTAACGCATTAATGAGTTTTATCGCTTACATTACGCAAACTCTGGTGGAGGAAGGGAGATCGGTGTAGCAGTAATTCGATCGATCTGCCATTGCGGATGTTAAGCGACTTTCACGGTGACCGGTTTTTGGATGGGTGACCAATTTTTTTATTGAGAGCCATTCGATGAGTATCACCTGCCTATCTAAATAGTTATAATAAATCATACCATGTGTTCGCTTATCACCATCACAGGACACAGAAAGAGGTTAGAACGGCCTTGTGGGAGGGGCAGGCGCGCCACAGTTATGTGTGAGCAAATGCTCATAACTTGATCAAAACTTGGTATTGATTGCGTCGTTGCTCTCGGTGTAAGCGCTGATTGGTTCGATTGTTTGATGTCGCGTCGTTTAATTGGCTATTATTAGTAGTTGTGGGGGCAAGCTGGCGACATCGGTTCCCGAACAAACGGTCTATGATCACCCTTCTGTGTTCTGTAGGTCGCTTACCATCATGTGGATCATTTGTTTCTTTGCCACCTTTTTATCATATTAATGATAAAAACCAAAACAGCAAGTAAATCATCAGCATGCTAACTTAAAGTTTGATAAGTTGAGTGAGTACTTGCATTACAAGTAAACTCTTTGTCATCGACAACAGTATTCACGAGATAACGCATTATCAACATTCAAAGGACAGATCAAATTATCCATAACTGTCTAATTTCTCAAATAAACTTTAATAATTAATATTTACATCGCCTGATATAAGATTAACAATCGATTAAACAAATTTGTTATTTTGCGGTACCTTGTTTAAATGACTGTAAACTACAGTATGTTTGCAATGTTCTTGCTTTTCAAGATACGCTAAATAAACTAATTAACTTAAGTGATTAATTATAAGCCACGTGGTATTATAGTTAATCATGAGACTATTCATGTACACTTTGTACACCTCACCACAAGTCGTCCCAATGGACAGTATAGGGAAAAGCTTGTCTTAGGAAACCTTTGTTGAATAATTATATAACTTCTGCAAATAAAGCACAAAGTCCAAAATCTACTAAAATCTACCAAATTCTACTAAAATCTACTAAACTCACCATAGACACGGGTAGAGGGTGCGCCCCACCATTGGCGTAGGGATACGGCGTCACCAGATAACCCATGTTGAAACTGGCCGCCGGGTGTGGTTCGAATTTACCTGAAATCACATTAAAAAAATATTTACTAAAAATTGTTTATTAAGCAACTTTCTCAGATGTTCGTTATAGTTAGTAGTAAGTTTGGTGACTCATTTCTTCATCCACTATCCGCAAATGGAATTACCCGCTCACACGGTTCCTCCCTTCTACAACCTGGGGTCCTTTAAGAGAGGCGTGAAGAAGCAATATGCAGGCCTTAAAGATGAGGATGGCTGCTGTGGCTGGTAGAACTGCTGTACCAGCTATCTTCGTCTCTCCTCCACTCTTAATTAACATCAGTATAGGTATTCTGTAAGATGCAATTTCACTTACGATCTCATTTATTCAGATTTCTGAGAAATGTCAAATATCTAATACTGGCTGCTTCTACAGACGTAGCGACATTTTGCCCTATAGGTAATGACGTAATGCATATCAAACAAATGTACCATGTAGCAGCTACCGAAATCTGAAGTGAGATTTTATTTTACAGAATCGCCCTAGAGGTGAGATGGAGTCATTAATCGGAACAATTTATAAAAAAAAACTGAGTTCAAAAGTCATCGTGAGAATTGCTTGTAGGAATCCAAAATATAGTTACCGTTCTATAGAACAGTAGAAAAAAAACAACGATGTTATCACAACCGTGTTAACATCTACTGAGATTCGATCACGCAACGCGTGTAGCCAAATCGACTATGTGTGTACCGATAACGCGACACATTAATACACATACGTTTAATAAACTACAAGATAGATATCTAAGAGCTACCGCACATTGGGCGGTCGTCACCACAGCTACTCGTAAGTGCGAGATTGCGAGATTTGCTTCGACTTGTACATGTCTTTCTTTCGATGGTCTCTATGGATGGAGTAACGCTTAGCTGGACACAAGGCCAGAAATTAGTCCCTGTTGCCTAATGCAAGCACTTGTGAATATAATTTAGGATATACATTTTTACTCGCACTTATCATTAAATAAAACTGTTTTTGAAAGAAAAAAACAGTCCGATACTCTTTCGGCTTAGCAGGCACCCAACAATGGGGGTTAGGTGAGTACACCCTAGGATGCTGCTGCTGTAAAGGGTCCAAAAACGTCCTTAATTACGAACTAATAAATCGCTCTTCATACCCGTTCAAAAAGTTTTTCTGAATATTTTTCAGAAACAGTCAGCCGCGCCGATGAAGTCGCGTAATGTGTGCGGACACTTATCTCGGAAACGCATTGCGTGCTCGTCCGTTCGCAATCTGACAGCTCGTAGGCGTATTTATCAAATATTCGCCAAACCGATAATTTTGATGTTATCCGCTCGTATCAGCGTGAGGACGCCGGTTTTCGCAAGCATATTACATGTGTTATCGTGTCAACAGCCTCGATTTTTTGCGACTACTTGAAATTCTCCCATGCTCGACTGGAAGTGAAATAAAACGTAATTTAGGCAAAAACTTTTTGGCACATGTATCAACATGTAGGTACAGGTATAGGGTATATACATATTAACAAACAATGGGTTCTGATTGGGAAACGCGAAGAATACTTAGTGTAATTACGACCTAATTAAAAAAGTTTCATCTAATGTTTGGGTGTGCGCGGAAATACAATGGTTGATGTTACTTCGTTTATCTACAAACTAGGTAGCCACAGAACACAGAAAGAGGTTAGAATGGTCTTGTGAGCGGGTGCGCCACAGTAATGTGTGAGCAAATGCGCATAACTTGACCAAAACTTGGTTCTGATGGAGTCGTTGGTTCGATTGTTTGTTGTCGCGTCGTTTGATTGGCTATTGTCTAAAAGGGGCTGTCCACTAAACACGTGAGGCTCGAAACCGGGGGGGGGGGATCCATAAAAAAAACACAAAATATCACAAGGGGGAGGGGGGTGTACTTTATACATATCTGTATTTTATAAATATTATATACTAAAAAATACACGTGATGTTGGAGGGGGGGGGGGGGGGGGGGTGTAGCGACATCGGTTCTAGAACGGTCCCGTACAAATGGACTTTCCAACCTCTTTCCTTGTTCTGTGTAGGTAATCAATTAAATTCAAACAAGGACAAATGTGTCAAAGTTGACTTCGGAAGCAACCCTCGAATTGGAAGGGGAAGTTACCTCCACCTTACAGATGGCATGTCATTTTGGCAGAGTTGTGTTTTTGTCGGAGAATAAGGTTCCAGGGCTCCACGGGGTAGGGGATTGGGTCAGGGTAGGCGATGGTGCGAGTGATATTATTGGTATCGCAAGCGTTTATATTTTATGGTGGCCGCTTACCATCAGGCAGGCCAAACGCTTATTTTCTACCCCTTTAACACAAAAAAAAATATGATTTAATAATCATTCAGAGTCTAATAATAATTCGTGGATTTCAAAATGGGGTCAGTAAAATTTTCGTACAAAAACAATCAAAATGGCTCATTGAAAAGCGTGCTAAATTCTGTATAAGTAATTATACCGAAATCAACCTTAAATATAATAAATTTCATTTGATAAGATATCGAATTTTACATTATAAATGTAAATACATGTACAGTATTGATCTAATTTTATAAAAGTTGACAACGTGAATTTGAACAAAATTGGTTTATATTTGTTATACAATAATAAAAAGTTAATATTTTTGTGATAAGAGCGAGAATTAAACCTGCGGTAAACGGCACCAAGCAACCTGTGTGTGCTCACCCTTACCTATCTTAGAAGACTGTTGTTCACTAAAAAGCCAAAAAAGCCACTTAAACCATTCAAAAAACCATTTCATAACGAAACCAATAAATGTGAAAATGATAAATTACAAAAAGTATACCAACAACAAAATTAGTTTCGCTTCCCCGTTCCCAGATTTTTTACCAAACATTTAATTTACTTGTGTCAATCAAAGCAGCGACCTCTAAAGGATTGTTTTTCACAATCGGTACGTTACCTAGAATAAAAGAGGTTTTTTTATTACCATTATTTTTAACGCTGACGCTGAACTATTAATCATGCTGTTCGCAGTTTGATTGGTTTTCGGCAAAAATTGCACATTAACGCATCTACCGAAGCTTATTTTTTGACAATGACAGGGTTGACAGCTGAAATTGATGTAGCTCAAATTTGTAGGAATTTGATTTTACCTGTCACTACTAGTCACGGGGAAAAGCATAGATACCGTAAGTGAGGGTTACTTTAGCTCGGGCGGGTAACTTTGTCCCAAATCAGAAAAAATATTGAACTTGCCGCCCCATCAGTATCTCTTGGGTGACCGTAATAGTTCCAGTTGAAAATCACAGATAGCCATATAGGCGCGTAGTGTGGTGTTGTTTTACCGACATCGTTCCTGTATCAAGTTGTCATTGTAACGCGGGATTTTTTGTAACTGAAATAGTTCGCAAGTTCATGCGCAAACTTTCTTAAAACTGTGGTTTTCGGTAAGTTTACTATTTTTTCTAAATTTAAAGTTATATTTTCTATTTAACTTAATTATTTTTGGGCAAAAACATCCATTTGTGTATTCAAAATGCTAATGGTGATCTGTTATAAGGGTTACTTAACCCCAACATGGCTTAAAATGAGTTTTTTTTACAGAGAAAACTCAAGGAGCTAAAGTAACCCTCTTTAAGGCCAACTTTGGCCCAAAATTAAAAATATATATATATAACCCTTAAATATTATTTTTTCCTATTTTCGTATGATAACTTTGTAACTTATACTTTAAAGTTCACAATGGCAAGATATAAACGTGACATATTCATCACAAAGAGAAGCTACAAATTGATTTGAAAAAAAGTGCACATTTTAGGTCATAGTAACCCGCAGTTAGTCGGTATATAACTTCATGGGGAAAAGTCGTTTTTGTTGAAGGAAATTTATATTTTGTGATCAATATAGACTATAAAAATAGGTACACGTATTCTTAATTTTTTCTCGTCACAAATTATGAAAAACTACAATCATATTTTCACAAACGTTCTCGAAACAAAACCGCGAAAATACTGGAGACAGATTCTACCAGACACCGCGGGTCGCTCATTCTAATAAGAGCCTTATGCAGTGCATCGTATGGGAGAAAGTGCAACGACATCAGCACTTGTTTACAACTTATGCTCGTTACCTACGTATAAGTAGGTACTACGCACTCGCGGGTGCTAGTTAACTCTCAATTTAAGGGGACTTTTCTAGAATGCGTCGATTGGCGTATATAAGCGCGATCGGCGCCGCGCAACAAACAGTTGAGTTTCAACAGCAATTTCGGAACGAATACAAAGACGATCAAAGTGCAAGTAATGTGTTCAAGTGAGCTTGTTTAAAGACTTGTATAGTGAAGTACAGTGTTTAGTAAGTGTATTCTGATTAACATTGTATGTTAAATGTATGGTGGAATAAGGTACTGTCAAGCGTGAACTGGCATACAATTTCGAACCCCATCCCAACACATAACAACGTTAACGTATAAACGAATCTTTAAATCCAAAATGTCCAAGGTTTCCAAAAATACCATTTTTAAAACCATATTTTTATGCACCACAATTTTAAGGTTTGACCAAACACTAGAAGCTCATCATAGTTTTGACATGTTAATAATATCTCTGAGCATATAAGTCCAGCAAACGAGAAGTGGTGAAAAAAAAAAACTGATTTCCCATAAAATTCCTCATCCACTTCTGAGAACACTACCCCGGTGGGCCGTGGTGTAGTGACCTATACAAATATTGACGGACCACGCTTAAAGACGTGTAACTTGGAGGAACTAGGAAGGATGCTTTGCCACACACTTATCTCGACTAACTAAAGTAATTTAAGACGTATTAAAAATATACATGATTAGCGGTTGCCCGCGACCTCGTCTGCCTTACCCTTGGTTTTTTGAGAATCCCACACGAACCTAATTTTTTTTCGAGATAAAAAGTATCATTTTATGTATAAATCCAGATCATAAAGTATGTGCGTATCAAATTTCATCATAATCCGTACAGTTCAATAGTTTTTGCATATTCGAGTAACAAACACACACTTCCAAACAGCAAGCGTTTCAATAGGATTTATG